TTCCATATTTATTTCCCTGTGTTTGGTCAATAAAAGTATCATTCACTGACTTCCACAATATTTTCTCTTCATTTCTTTGAGTGTTCCTGAAAGCCAACAAGTTGCACTTTGGAACGACCTTAATATTGTATCATGTTTTTGATCTGAGTTTGTTTTACAGCATGAAATGTCTGAATGAGTGCTCATCCAAGACTGGTGATTCCATACTTTTTGCCAGGGGTTGTAAACAAACCTCTTCATTACTCTTACCTAATTAGAAAATGCAAATGAAAACAAATGTTTGAGAATTTCAAAGGCACAAAGTGAATTTATACAAAGAAACTTAGCTAGTTTCAAAGTGCAATTATTTTTATTGATTTCTGAGTAATTTTATAATAAATTCTTAAAAGTATTAATATTATACCCATAGTAGTAGTTTCTCAATTTTTATTGTTTTATTTTATTTCTCATCACATAAATCTTGCAAGTACGTATACTATGTCTATTTGTTTGTTTAAAGGTGACCCGTCAAGCGTCCTTCAACAAGTTAGGATACGTCTATAGTCTATACAAAACATGTTCATAACATTTTTTTGCACAAAATCATTTTTAGATTCTCAGATGATGACATTTTAGACTGTTCACTTCTGACTATTTTCAGCTTCTTTCAGAATGAGCTGTTTTAGAGCCTCTTGTCACTTTAAATACAAATAAATGGTGCAAACATATCTGCAATTACACAGCCATACCTTTTTGAAAAAACATTTTTAGATAAGTCAACAACAAAACACTTGTCTTTTCCAGCAGCCATTGTACTGCATGTCCTGGAGCTCCACTTAGGTTGCTAGGTTACAGGCTAGGCTTTGCTGGTGTTGCTAGGTAACGGCGCAGAGCCTGTGGAATGTGACTCCACAATCAGGAGGTTTTAAATGGCTTACACAAAACATAGAAACGACTGGGAGTTGTCGTTTTTAAGCACTTAGGCTGTTTTTAGAAGCAGTCGAGACCCAAGTGGAAGAACAAACACTGAATTTTGCATAATAGGACCCCTTTAAAACAGGTCAGTCAGGGAATAATACCCTGTGTTTCAGTTAGATTACTTAAGCCAAGTTCACATGGCACAATTTTTGTCTAGATTTTCCCCTTCCGACAATCTTAGAACGTTCCGCATTCTAAGATTGTCGCTTGCAATAATCATAACCGGTCATTCTGCGGAAATAATCAAGAAATAAT